TGCTGCTGCTGCTGCTGCTGCTGCTGCTGCTGCTGCTGCTGCTGCTGCTGCTGCTGCTGCTGCTGGTGTGTGCAGGGCTGCTGGTGGGCACCTAATAGTGACGTTGGAGCCAGACCTTCGGGGCGAGCCAGCAGCAGCAGCAGCAGCAGCAGCAGCAGCAGAGGAGGGCGGCGCAGCAGGCTCCTCCGCAGCAGCAGCAGCAGCAGCAGCGTACAAGCGCGCTGCTGCTGCTGCGCTGCAGTCCGTTCAGGTGTACGTACAGTCGTGCAACAACGAGACCTTCGCGAAGAGCATGTGGGCGCCGACTTTGCGGCCTTCTGCTCAGCTGTATACTGACAAAGGACATTTAAATGAATTTAATCAAATTGTGGCACTTGTTGAAAACAATTTGCATCTTTTCAACAGTCCTTTGTGTCAGTACCGCATTGGAGTTTATGCTGCTGCTGCTGCTGCTGCTGCAGCAGCAGCAGCAGCGCCGGAAGCAGCAGCAGCGGCGGCGGCGGCGGCGGACCCCGAGGCGGACCCCGCTGCTGCTGCTGCTGCTGCTGCTGCTGCTGCTGCTGCTGCAGCGCCTGCTGCAGCGCCCGTGTTCTTCAGGATCCGTGCTGCGCTGCAGCAGCAAGCTGCTGCGCTGCTGCTGCCGCTCAGCTGCCCCACTCCCGGCTTTCTTTCGAAGAAGCCGCAACTCAAATCCCAATTTAATTCAAAAGGAATTAAAATGTTTATTTCCGACTTCGCTCTCATGCGCATTTGGAAACACAAATTCAAAAAACAACAACTCCTCATCACTCTGCAAGTAAGCAGCAGCAGCAGCAGCAGCAGCAGCAGCAGCAGCAGCAGCAGCAGCAGCAGCAGCGGCAGCAGCAGCAGCAGGTTTGCTGCTGCTGCGCTGCAGCAGAGGCAGCTGGTGGGGACGTTTCTGTCTTTTTCTTCGTTTTTGGAGTTTCTTGTTTTGCAAATGAGAAATGCATTTAAATGCTTTTTTGCTTCCTTTTGTTGCAGATATATTTAAATTATTTCATTTATTTATTTATTTTATTTATTTTATTTATTTTATTTTATTTTATTTATTTTATTTTATTTTATTTATTTTATTTATTTCATTTATTTCATTTTTTGATTTAGTGCTTCGTAGATGTGTCTGTACGTACACCGCAGCGAACGAACTGCGGTTTTCTCCTTTCTTTTTCTTTTTTTATTTTTTGTTTATTTACTTTTAAAATATAATTAAAACAAATTAAAATGCAATTTAATTTAAATTATTTATTTATTAAAACAATTAAAATGCAATTTAATTTAAATGATTTATTTCGAGCCGAAGTTGAACTCCCCTGCATGCGCACGCGGCGCTGAGGTGTACGTACACCTCAGGAAAGTCTGCAGCGAAATGCGAAATGGACAAATGAAATAATTTAATTTGAATTTTAATTTAATTTGAGTTTAATTATTTAAATTTAAATGTTCATTCAATTTAAATCAAGTTAACGGGGCCTTCATCTTTGCTGCTAGTCTCTCGCTCCTTCTTTATTCCTATTATTCTCTCTCTCGCTGCTGCTGCTGCTGCTGCTGCTGCTGCTGCTGCTGCTGCTGACTGCAGGGCTGCAGCGGGAACGTGAACTTCACGTGGGGCAAAAGCCGCGTGGGAGTTCGGGAAGATCCCGGAAAGAATTCTTGGCTTATTGGAGAACTCCAAAAGGAGAAAACGGAGCAGCAGCAGCAGCAGCAGCAGCAGCAGCAGCAGCAGGAAACCCTCATCAGCCAGGGACGCGTCAGCAGAGTGCGCCCACAACCAGCAGCAGCAGCAGCAGCAGCAGCAGCAGCAGCAGCAGCTGTAGTTCGAGCACCTGGGGCACCCGGTAGCGCCAGCAGCAGCAGCAGCAGCAGCAGCTGCTGCTGCAGCAGCAGCGTGCCCCGCCGCCGCCGCAGCAGCAGCAGCAGCAGCAGCAGCAGCAGCGGCGTGCGTGTGTGCTGCAGGTGGTGTGGGGCCCCGAGGTGAACTACCTGGGTGCTGCGCTGCTGCCGCTGCAGCAGCAGCAGCGGCTGGGGTTTGTGGGGCGGCGCAGCAGCAAATACTCCGTGCTGGTGGAGCCGCTTGCTGCTGCTGACTGCCTAGCAGCAGCAGCAGCAGACCTGCAGTGGGCTGTGGGGCCCCTCCATTGGCTTTCCAGTTTTTTGAACTTCCGAAATAATAAAACTGTTCTTTTGCATCTTTCCTGGAGTCCCCTTTTGAAGGCCCGAGCTGTCGATACACTCGGCAAGGGCGGGTCCGCTGCTGCTGCTGCTGCTGCTGCTGCTGTCTTGCTGCTGCTGCTGCTGCTGTCTTGCTGCGGCTGCTGCTGCTGTCTTGCTGCTGTCTTGCTGCAGCTGCTGCTGCTGTCTTGCTACGGCTGCTGCTGCTGTCTTGCTGCTGCTGCTGCTGTCTTGCTGCTGCTGCTGCTGTCTTGCTGCTGCTGCTGCTGCTGCTTCAGCTCCTGTGCTGCTGCTGCTGCTGCTGCTGCAGGGTGTCGGAGGAGTGGGCGTGCGCTCCTGCTGCAGTGGCAGCAGCAGGAGCAGCAGTGGAGGAGCCCTTTGTGGTGTACGAACTCTTCGTGGCGAAAGCAGCAGCAGCAAGCAGCAACTGGAGCAGCAGCTGCGGCATTTACCAAGACACGCAGCAGCAGCAGCAGCAGCAGCAAGCAGCAGCAGCAAAAATCTCCGTGCCTCCAGGCCTGCTGCAGCACTCGCTGCCCCTCGACTTCACAGACACAGACGCCTACAGGCACGCAGCCAATTAAATTAATTAATTAATTAATTAATTAATTAATTAATTAATTAACTTAATTATTTATTTATTTATTTATTTATTTATTTATTTATTTATTTATTTATTTACCTGAAAACTGGTCGAAAATTCGCGTTTTTTCGCCTTTTTTCGGGCGAAGCAGCTGCAGTGGCTGCTGCTGCGCTGCTGCTGCTGCTGCTGCTGCTGCTGCTGCTGCTGCTGCTGCTGCTGCTGCTGGGGGTGGTTTGCTGCTGCAGCGGGGCCCTTTGGATATTTGTTTTGTCACTTCAGAATTGGACTTGTGGCGAAGTTTCTGGACCCCGGGGGGCCCCTGGCTGCGAGGCCCTTTGCCTACAGATTTGCTGAAGTGCCTTTTAGTGCTGCTGCTGCTGCAGCTCGCCGCTGCAGCATCAGGGCCTTTTTGCTGCTGCTGCTGCTGCTGCTGCTGGCCGTTTTGCTGCTGCTGGCCCTCAAGTACCTCCGCAGGAGCAGCAGATTCCGCCAGCTGCTGCTGCGCGCTGCTGCTGCTGGCAGCAGAAAGGCTTTGGGCCAAAGAAGTAAGAAAAGATCCTTTGCTTCTTTGCCCTTTTCAGCAGCAGCAGCGAGCTGCCTGCTGCTGCTGCTGCTGCTGCTGCTGCTGCTGCTGCTGCTGCTGCTGCTGATATTTGCACTTGTTCGTTTGTACCGCCACCAAAAGTTCGGAAATGCAGCACTTTGTTTGTTTCCACCATTCCTGCTCTGCTGCTGCTGCTGCTGCGCTGCTGCTGCTGCTGCTGCTGCTGCTGCTGCTGCAGGCGGGGTGGAGCTGCGGGCGTACGGGCCAGTGCCGAACATAATTGGCTGCTCCTACGAAGCTCCCGAAGGAGAGTCTTTGGACTTTTCTTCGGAATTAAATGAAGTGCCGACGGCCTCTTGGCTGTCTCGCGAGCGCCTCTGAACCGCGCGCTCCGGTGTACGTACACCTGGCCAGCCCCAGCAGCCGCCAGCAGGAAGCTCCAGCAGCAGCAGCAGCAGCAGCAGCAGCAGCAGCAGCAGCAGCAGCAGTGCTGCGCGAGCGGGCCCTGCGGGAGGCTGCAGGCCTTGCTGCGCTGCTGCTGCGCTGCTGCTGCGCTGCTGCTGCGCTGCTGCGTGCGGCTTTATTCACTTTTTTCTTTTTGGGGCTTTGGCAGTTTCGTTTCTGCTTGGCTTTGAATTGTCTTCAAACAATTTCCTGGACAGAACTTGAATTTCAACAAGTGCAAATCTCTAGCGCCGCATTTAAAAGAAAACATAAAAGAGTAAAGTGAAAGTTAGTGGACTCTTGGTTTGCTGCAGCTCAGCTGGAGTGCTGCTGCGTCTGCAGCAGCAGCAGCAGCAGCAGCAGCAGCACGGGCTGTGGAGTTGAGCTCTTTTTCCGGAGAAGAGAAGAAGTAAAGGAACTAAACGCAAATGGAGTTTAAGTTCAGCTTTTATTTGCGCGGAAGAAAAGAAAAAGTGGCTCGAGAAGCAGCAGATCGGGTCCGGCGTTGCGCGGGATTTCAGGTGTACAGGCAGCTCGGAGGCGGCGATCTGCAAGTCGGCGCCGCGGCAGCCGCACTTTTGTCGATCTGCAAATAATTGAAAGAGTGATTAAAACTTGGAAATAAATAAAAAGAGCTTTGAAGGCAATGGCGGGTTCTTCGGGGAGCCGGAGTTCGCGGGAGTTTCTGTCTCAGTGTGAGTGCGGCCGCGCCGCTTTCTGCAACTTGCACGGAAAGCTGCAGATCTCGAGCTCTGCAACTTCAGCTTTCCCGACGGAGTCTTCATGACTTGCAAAGAACTTCTCGACAACGCAGTCGACGCCTCCAAAAGGCGAATTAAAAGCCGCTTTCCACTTTTGGCCGCCGGCGAAGTTGAACTGGCGGTGGCGCTGGGCGAGGCGGCGGTCACTGTGGCTTGTCGCGACACCGTAGGCTCCGCGTTTCCGCGCATTTAATTAATTAATTTATTTATTTATTTATTTATTTTATTTATTTTATTATTTTATTTATTTATTTGTTTTATTTGGTTTATTCCGCTTCTTTTGAACGGCGAAGGG